AATCATTAAAAACCAGTTTGTCAGTGTTGATTGGTTGTGGACGTAGTTAACTCATTTCTGATATGAAAAGTTCCTTATATTCTCTTTGCTATTCAAAACTGTGTTTAACGACATGGGGATATCACATAGTGTTTCCATGGAAACCATCTTTTTTATTTGATATGTTGTTTGATGTACACTTTTGTTCAACAAAATATAACTGATTTGCAGTGCTTTTTACAATACTTTTACTCAATCTGATGAAATTCGTTTTCAACAATGATCTATTTTTAACCACATTTAACTATTTGTTTGGATTGTGGTGTCTAACCTGGTATGTTTGAATTCTTTGACATCACGGTCGCACAACACAGCCTGAATTGATTATAAAAGAATTTTCTTTTTATCACAGACAATAATTTTTTGAAAAATGAAACTGAAACAATTGAATTAATTAAGAAAGATCATGAAAAAATATTACAACAGGAAAAGACTTTGAAAATTCAGGTTTGTATATAAACATATATATATGACACTTGTTTGCTCTTGCAAATGTATTCTGCCATCTTGGATTTTGTTACGTGTACTCTCTGGCTTATAGAGGGCGTACTTGCAAAAAATATGCAGCCATCTTGGATTTTATTACATGTACACTTTGGCTTATAGAGGGCGTACTTGCAATATGCAGCCATCCTGGATTATGTTACGTGTACACTTTGGCTTATAGAGGGCGCCCCTGCAAAAATATGCAGCCATCTTTGATTTTGTTACATGTACACTTTGGCTTATAGAGGGTGCATTTGCAATATGCAGCCATCCTGGATTTTGTTACGTGTACACTTTGGCTTATAGAGGGCGCCCCTGCAAAAATATGCAGCCATCTTGGATTTTGTTATGTGTACACTTTGGCTTATAGAGGGCGCCCCTGCAAAAATATGCAGCCATCTTGGATTTTGTTACGTGTACACTTTGGCTTATAGAGGGCGCCCCTGCAAAAATATGCAGCTATCTTGGATTTTGTTATGTGTACACTTTGGCTTACAGAGGGCGCTCCTGCAAAAATATGCAGCCATCTTGGATTTTGTTACGTGTACACTTTGGCTTATAGAGGGCGCCCCTGCAAAAATATGCAGCCATCTTGGATTTTGTTACATGTACACTTTGGCTTATAGAGGGTGCCCCTGCAAAAATATGCAGCTTTCTTGGATTTTGTTATGTGTACACTTTGGCTTATACAGGGTGCATTTGCAAAAATATGCAGCCATCTTGGATTTTGTTACGTGTGCACTTTGGTTTATG